AAAAATATTTACATATATTAAATAATTTTACAAATATTAGAATAAGTTTAATATATCAGAAAATTATTGATTAAATATTTTTGGAGATTTTTAGAAATATGCAAAATATTTTTTATTGTAGTTGGATATATCATTTGATTACAAGTTGGAAAAATACTGATTGGCAAAATATAAATTTGAAGTGACTTCCAATAAACTTTAGTTTTGTTTTTAATTTGTTTTTAGATTGAAATGTATTCGACTCTTGTTGTTTACAGCTGCCGACAGTTGTTCTTTTTTTTTTTTCTTTAGCTGCCACCTTTGAGTTCGTTGCGCTGCTGCAGGTGGTTGGCTGTGCTCTGGCATGCCACTCAAAGTCAGTGTGGTGCAAAGTTTGTCGACAATTCAGCATCGCGTTCAGCGTTGACAACTTCAGCAAACAACTTTTATCGCTCTCTCGCCACACCTTCCTCAATTTGATGCGCTCTGTTTTTTTTTTTTTCATTTTTAAGTGGGGCTTTAAAGGGCACGGGGGAAAAAATAAACAATAAAAAAAACTGAATAAAAATAAATGCAAACACAACAAGAAATGCGCGACAACCGCAAATGATGGGCAGCAAAATGTGTTCGCATTAAATAAAATATAATTTTTATGAAAAAACGCTTGAAAAAATCTGACAAATGAAAAATGTTGCAAGATTATTTTTCACAGCAATTTTTTAAATGAAATCAGAGCATATTTGTTGTTGTAGTTGAACAATTATTTAAAAAACAATGCGCATTAATTATAAAAGGCATGCTAACTATTTAATTATGCAACATTTCAATATTTATTATGCGTGGATATAAATTTATATATTATTAAATTTTTTTTTTTGTTATTAGTTGCACATGTGTACGTCATTAATTTTTAAAGCCTTTTGTAGAGTGCTATAAATTAACAGCTATTTATTATAAATAATGCATTAATTGCAACAAAAAATGTATATATTAAAAACAAAAAAGAACATAGCATTTGGGTAATAATGACTGCAGGATACTCTTTCATAGACCAAAGCGCTGTCAGATTCATACTCCGATTTGTCACGCCCCCAATTGATAATCATGTATATACTATATATATAGGGGGAGCAAAATGAGCATTGCATAAAACCAATATACTCACTTCACTTGTGTGAATGAGCATAATAATTTAATAAATATTAAAAATCAACTATTGTATGATAATATAATTTTAAAAATCAAAACTACTCAAAACTACCAAATAGAAATATTTTTAAAAAATATATTGATTCAAGTATATTTGTAATATTTAACGTCCGCGTGTCGTATGCGCAATTTCCCAGCACTTCAACCGTAAACACGCTTAAGTACCGTAAAAAATGTATAAGTTGTATTAAGTAAATTCTGAAACAACTCCAATGTGATGGGGCGAATGTTACCTAGCAATACCTGGGAAAATAATTGCAAATTCTATTAGCAATAGTAGTTTAGTTAATTTTTTTTTAGTTACAGTCAGAACTCTTACCGATGCCGGACGTTGTGCTCGCAATATCATAAATTGTATATTTTTGCGTACCTTCATGTCAAACATGAACCACTCGGTCTCGTAGGCAGCCACAGCGATGGCCAGATTCTGGAATATATTACAAAAACCCGATAGCAGCTATAGGCAGCCAAAGGCCACTACAACAACAACAACAACTACAAGTACATCAATTCACCTGCTCCCTCAGCTCATTGGCATACCAATAGAGTGCCAATATCTGTGCGAGTATCATGTTTATATACGCACTCACAATGGCTATATGTGCGGACGAGTCCACCTAGACGAGAAAGCAACAGAAAAGGCATACATACATATATACTGCAAGCATGCTCCTCACACACACACACACACACACAGAAGCACTTACAAACATCAGCATGAAGAGCAGCGCACAGAGCAGCGCACCAAAGGCCAAAAACTCCACCAGAAATATATAAGTAGTCAGCTTATTGATGGTCTGTATATAGCTAGTAGATGGGAGAGTGCATTGAATATCTACAAACTTTTGCCCCATTTTTTTTTTTTATTTTTCTCTCCTTTTTTTACTGCTTACTCAATGATCCGCTGATGATAGATAATGCATTCGATTATTTCCAGTGAGAGTTGCTGGGGGTTGAGCAAACGATGCTTGAGACGTCGCAAACGATGCTGCAGCGCCTGGCACATCACAATGCCGAACATAATGAAGCCCACACAGAGACTCGTATAGGGTATATACATGCAGCAGCCCATCGGGGTGATGAGCATGTGAAAGACGAACCACATTTGATAGTAGGGTGTGGCATATTCATTGACGCCCGGTATCTTGCTGCCAAAGGGCAGAACTGCAAGTGCTCAAAGGTAATTTGATTAGGCCAAATAATGACATTAGTTGAAGCTTTGGATTAATTTTGTGGCCAGCTAACGACAGTATTTGAAGCTCTTGATTAATTTAGTGGAGCAAGGATTTTGGGGAAAACGTTCAAAGGTAATTCAAGTTTCAAGATAATGATATTACGTGAAGCTTTTGATTAATTTTAAGAAATAATTTAGCGCAAGTGTTTCAAGATCATAAGATTGGTTATTAGTTAAGCTGTCTATTGAATAAGAGTATCAGAGCTCTTGTAGGAAGCCCTCAAAGGTAATTAGAGTTAATGCATAAATGACATTAGGTGAAGCTTTGGATTAATTTTAGTTGATGCGAAGAACTTGGGCTTTAAAACTATTTATTAATGGAATTTGTCTATTCATTAAGAGTATCAGAGCTTTCGGTGGAAGTTCTAAAAGGAAATTAGAGTTCATGATTAATGACATTAGGTGAGGCTTTGGATTAATTTAAGAGAAGACTAGATTTTGTGGCGCGAGTAAAAAAGATTTTGCGTAATGGAAAAATGATAAAAATTATGATAAAGATAAAACTCTGCAATTAATTAATTAAAGAGATTTATCTAATTAAACTAGTAAAAACTTTCCTCAGTTAGCATTTAACAAAATTAAGCCAAAATTCAACTTTCACTTCCAGCAACTCTTCACTCACCCCTCTCCGTAGAGCTCAGCGGATACAGGCCAAAGCCAATGCAGGTGAGCAGCCCAAAGAAGAGATTCCCACGCGCCATAAGTCGACCCTGCTGATTCATCTTGGCCAAAAGGTAGCCTATATAACGATCATCCATGCGCTCCATCTCATAGTACGAGTTGCTCAGATCGCTGATCAGCTGAATATAGCTCTGCTGATCGAATAGCAGTAAGTACGCACGCAGCACCGTGTTTATCCAGAGCACCAGCATATAGGAGTTGCGTATGATGCCCGTGATGCCCTCGTCCGTCGTGCACATGTAGAAGATCTGGGTGAGCACATGGACAATGCTCAGTGTTAGGCAAATGTAACGCTTCACATTCTTGTCGTAGAGCAGCGCCCAGAAGCGCAATATCCGCACATTCATGTATATCAATTGGATGTCCTCGAGCATATTGGCAACTCAACTATTTGTCGATATGTGCAGTCGGCTGACTTTTATATCTTTGCCCAAGGTTATGCAATAGTTATTATAATTTTGTTGGGCAGCTCTGACTCATGCCACGCCTTGCAAGCGCTCCCAGGCACAATTTTTAATGTAATTTTCTTCATTTTGCAATGCTCGCTCAGGGGATGAAAATTGGGGTATATTCGATTGGGCTTTGACACTTGAAATGTTGGGAAATTAAAGTGAAAGACTTGAAATAAAAAATTGTATAAAGTTTCACCTGAAAATAACTGAAAACTTTTTTAATAAAATAAAAAAAAAAAAAAAAAATAAAAAATGAAGGCAAGTTATGAAGATTTTATAGATGGGTATACCCGTATTGGGGTTATCTGTTTTAGTGCTTAATATTACACTTAACATCTTCAACTAACTGTCATAAAAAATCTCAATGGACTTATTCTTAGACTAACTTGAAATCTTCTTGAGCATGTATGAACTAGTCAGCTATAGCCCACCAATTCTTTCTTAATGCATTTTTTAGTAGCCCAAATTGCTGCACATGATTTGGCATTTTATTTGATTACCTGAAATATTATACCAATTTTTTGTTGCTTAATTTTTTATTTTATTTGCTTTCTTTTTATCGATTATCAAAAACTGTGCAGAAAATATGAAAAAATATATATTTGCATTTAAGTGAAGCTTTTACTTAATAAATAAATTTGTGTGTGTGTGTGTGTGTGTGTGAAAATATGCTAGTCACAAACATTCTGTATCATAATCTATTTGATAGAAAATGTTTATATAATTACAGCAGAGCAATCAGCCTCGATTGATAATTTTCCATCATAGTTGATAATAAATTGGTTGCATTGACAATTGTAGCGGTAATGAGCTAATGTAAATATGTAGAATATCTCATTATATATAAATATATATGCATGTTTATTTATTTACACAGCAATCAGCGAAATTTCACCATTCAGTTGATTAGGCAAAACTAAACAATATCGTTTTCATAGCCAGAGATAAATAGTTTAATATTTATTTACTCAAATTCTTCATTTGAATACTCTTTATTAATTTGCATTTAAATTATGGGAAGTTAAAAATATATGGCATAGGCTAAAGCTTTAACTTTAATTAATTTGCATTTAATTTAAATGCAATTTTATTAATATAAATA